ARTAMAAAGTAAATAGTTCCCTTTGATTGTAAATAATAAATTACTTAAGAAATAATAGCAAATAATATAGTAGAAAAAAGTTAAGTCTCATTGCAAAACAAAACCATAAATACCTAACTTACCTAACTAAACTTCTCAACAAAATGAACGTTACCTACGTTAACCTCATCCAAAGTTAAACTTTGGAAGTGGATAAATTGTGATTGTCTGGACGATTTGGTTTCTGTTTGCAGCGTTACTGAGCCCCATTTGTTTTGGTAAAAAATTGAACCTCAAATACATTTTTTACAGGGTGGAAAATGCAAACAATACCAAACGTTTAATGATAAACCAAAAATCTCGAAACGGTTTTTGAATTTTAGGACCTCTTTTACAGGGTGGTCTCAAAAAATCCACTTTTGGCCTTAATTCGATAGATTTTCTGCTCTTGGATCGATTTTCACGATTTGAGCTGATGTTGAAGCTAAAACTTGATATACGAATGAATCTAAGACGAAAATTCGATATACAGAGATTACATAAAAAATTACTCAAATCAGAATTGCCCCCTAAATCTGTGATTCTAGCAAACTTTCAACTAAAGTGAAGTTCACTTTCAAATATTTCGCTAACTCGCTATATTGAATTTTTTTCGCAAGTCTATCAACAACTTAAATTTCAGCATTCCTAGATTTTGAAAATTGGTTMAAGAGAAAAGRAGTTATTACTGCAAGACAGAAAAGTAATTTTTTTAAGGCCACTCTGTAAATAACCGAGATGGTCAAAAAATTCTAAAACTTTTCCGGGATATGCGATCTAAGCCTTTGGTGCTGAAGTACAAAAAAAACGTTTTTTGTCCAACTGGGGGCATTTGGATCATTTGCCACCCGATAGAAACTTTATCTGAAGCYCTAATTTTTTGCAAAGATTAATTTAATATACATACATATATATAAAAGATTTTGCCTAAAAAGAATTGCCCTAAATAACGCCTCAAAGAGAAATCAAATCGCTAGCAGAAATCAGAATTTATGGAGTTCCAAAACTACTGGGAGTTTGTCCGTGTAACTGTGTCTGTTTTGGTGAGCAGTTTTGTTACACTGCCATAATTTCGTGATATGCTACTTTGAAAGTACATTTTGATCATTTATATTGCTTCTATAAGCTGACACTCGTTTTGGACTAGTTGGTAGAGTAAAAGATAATCAACCCTTAACAGCAAAAAATTGAATTACACTAAACGAAATTTTATAATACGATTAATTATTTTAGGATATGCAACACCAAATACCGGCTTGTTAAGAGAAGATCTATTGCGTCAGTCCCATAACACGCGACATGATGAGATAATGCGATACCCAAGCACTAACAACGTTCGCATTTCAGAGGCACAGATACAAAACAGCAGAGGCAGTGAAGATCTCAATAGGTACTTAATCTTTCTTAACTTTTGTAAAAAAAATATAGATGAAACTCATACGGATTCTCAGGCACCAAGAAATTCGAAATTCCAGAAGTGAAGATGCGCTTAAACAACCTGCTCTTCGGGGTGAAATGCTGCGCTATGCTAGCAGTGGCAATATACGGGCACACGATATAAATCAACCTTTACGGCCCGGTCAAGATCAGCAGCACCGCTTAAGTGGCGAGGAGAGGCTAATGCGAGGCCAAGCAAAATTAACGGAAATGGGTGAAGAGGTGAGTGGAACTGCTGGGTGGAAAAATTAAATATACAAATTTTAACGTTCTATTACAGCTAAAGAGGAGACAGCAACACCAACAACAACCATCTCAACCTCGGGTGTTAACCCAAATGCCCCCCAATGCATACTATCAGCAGCAACAACAGCAGCAGCACTACTACAACAACCAGATGGCACAATCCATGCAAAACCTCTCAATAAACCCAACCTACCAAAACCAGCAACCGTTACCTGCTGGTTACAACCAAAACTACGCAGTGAACCAGGGCTTCTATCAAACATACGGACCCAATTCTCCAACCTATCGGCCTCAAAATAATTCTCAAAAGCCAGCGAAAAGGCCAGAATCGCCTCCAGTTCCTCCACCTACCAATACGCATCCATTATATTCTCCGACTTCACCGGAAGCTCCCACCACATACACAGCTTCTAATCAAGACCCGCCAAAAATGGCATTGTATCCGATGTCTCCAACTACCAACAGCAAACCTCCAAGAGATCCGTGGGCGCGAGAAGAACAAGAACGACAACAAGGTATGTAACTTGTTGTTTGTTGACTGAGAATATTATATTTGGACTTGATTTTTCAGAAGCAAGACGAGAAGTCTCACGGCAATGGCAGGAACAGCAAATAAGGGAATTGATGACTTTACCTTATCGGACGCAACAACAGGAGGAGCAGCTCAGGGTGCTACAATTAGAAAGGGAATTCCAAAGACGCGCTCAAGAAGCAGCTGGAGAGGACGACGATGAGACCGAAAAGGTAGAAATCCAAATATTATTACAATTATAAACTATTGTTTCCGTTATTATAAGTAACACTTGTGTGGTGGATACCAGCAAATGCTTTTAGAAAAAATTGTTCGATTTGAACACATTCGATTTGTTATTTGTTTGTAGGAGTCTCCAACGCCTCACATGCCTCAACCTGTCTCCAGTCAGACCGTGATAAGTACAGTGCCTTCTACGACAGTTTCCAGTAGACAGGAGCAAACACAGCCTCCTCCGGCTTCAATTTTGAAACCAGGAGGAAACAATTCACAAGTTTCGCCTTCGGCTCAAAGCAATGTTATCTCGAGGGAAAGTCATGCCACCAATCAGCGACCACCTTCACCTGCTGAACCCATTCTGGCCCCTCCTCCTCCAGAGAGGTACTAATATTTGTTGTTGCAACTAAATCAAATTCTCAGAAACTGTTAATTTTCGAATTGATTTTCAGCAATCATTAAATAATTTGGCTTGAACTGCATATTTTTGCAGGGGCTCTAGTTTTGCTGTTATGTCGATGCGCGGAAAAGATTCGAAACGCGTGTCATTTGATCCAGTGTCGACTCAAAATAATATTCAACAACAATCGCCCATACCGACTTCTTTACCAGTGAAAGAGAATGCAAGGGAGGATCCAAATGTAAGTAGCATATAATATATTTTGTTACATACGTTTTATAAGGTTTCCTTCAGGGTTTATTTCAAATTTTGACTTGTTTTTTGTGTAATTTAAGAAACGTGAATTGCAAGATCAACGAAAACAGACATTAAAAACAATTGCCCAATTAACATGATGTCGCTGCTCCACTAAACATGACTGTTAATTGAAAGAAATCCAAGTGCAACGTTATACAAAATATACTACAAAAATCAAAATTTTAAACCGCTTTTTTAGAAAACAAAATCTAAGTGTATAAAAATTGGCAGCAATCTAATAATTATAGTACAATTGGTATTGGACAATGGAAATTGTAGCACAATTAGTCCGTTTCGAAAAAAATGCATAATTTAAATTAATTACATATTTTTTTTGGGCGAAAAATTAATAACAGGCAATTAATAGGTGGAAAATGTTGTTGAGGTTCCAGCTTCCAAAAAACACGAAAATATTGGTTATAGGGATGCAGTTTATGGGGTGAGAACGGGTTTTTTGCGATTTGAGGCGATACGTAGCCTCCAAGCGAAAAACGTCCGATGGCAGAGTTGTAGATAAAAAAAATTAAAAACTTTTGTATTTAACACTTTTTGACATAATCTGAAATTAACATTCAAAATGGCAAAAAAAACGATTTTTCATTATGTAATTTTTTCTCCCATATTAATGATTTTATATACATGAAGATCTGTAAAAGGATGTCTATTTTGGTGTTAAATAAGCATGATTGTTTCGTAGTTCAGATGGCGACAAGTTTTCGAGTTAGGTATATTTTTCGATAAAAGTACTCCACTTTCCCACGAACAATTTTTTTGTACTTCAAAGGTCTATAAGTGATCATAAGAGTGGATTTCAAATATATATTTAATCATAGTTGTATTTCAGCGCAAATATGTAAGTAAAGAATTGTAGCAAGTTTATGTTATTTATTTATTCATTTTTAGCATAGTTTGGGCTACTTACTGCAATAAAATTATTTCAACTGTAATCTTACATTAAATAAATTTGTATTATGTAAATATATATAGTCAACTATTAACAAGAATAATGAAGAAAATAGAAAATTATTGAAATAATTAATCAAATCATGATTAAGAGGGACTTTTCAGTTTTGCGCAATTTTCAGCGGTTCAACGATAAATAAACCATCAGGTCACAGGGACTTTTTTAAAGTAGACATTATAACAATTACAATTATCCCGTATGTACTTTGCACCACAAAGGTCAAGACAAAGAATTGTTCGTGGAAGATAAGTGTATTTTTTTTTGGAAAATGTCTATAACGCGAAAACTAGTCGTCTTCTTAACTGCCAAAAATAATGCTTAATCAGTACCAAAAATAACATACTTTTACAAATTTTCATGTAAATTAAATCATTTATGCGCGAGAAAAAAGTGAATTTGGAACTATGATTTTGGATTGCTTTATTGTCTACAACTGTGCCATTGGGCCTTCTTCGCTAAGTCACGTTTCGCCGCAAATCGCAAGAAAACTCGTTTTCAACCGATAAGCTGCATCCACATTTCACCATTTCCAGTGTGTTCGTGTTTAAATTAATTTCTTTCTTAAAGTTGGAACCTCACCAGTATTTTCCACCTGGTCCTTGCCTATTGTGATTTTTTTTACCATGTGAAAATTCTTATCGTCACAAGCCTATAATCCCGATAATAACTGTATAAGTAGAAGATCCCCATAATAATCAATTTTGAAAATGCATATAAAAATGATTTTTATGTTATGTAGAAATCTACACAATGACCCACTTAGAAACGGCAACATTTTGTAACAGAATTTATTGAGTTTCAAAACATAATTTTCATACATCCGGTATAAGTTTACATCGAAATCCTAATATATGTGGCATGAATAACTACTCAAGTGGTCCAATATTTTTTTTTATTGTGCTGCACTTTTTACACATTCTTTACATTATGCCATAAGGGGTTCAAAGTTTCTATATTATGCAGTATTGGCACAACCTTTATTTTGTTGTACGGATATTCGTATTGAAATGCAGGGTGTTCCATTAAGAAACAACAAGTTTGATAGGTACGTTTTTTTCGCACCCAGGATAATTTAAATACCCATTAGTTTTCTCGTGAAGCAGTGTTTTTTAAAGGTGTAAATTTTTATTTTACAGAGCTTCATTCTTCAGGCAGAATCTATGCTGGCTTCCCCCACGACCCCGACGGATCCCAGTCTGAACGTTGCAACCGCAACACCGGGCGTAATCGGTGCCCAAGAAGTGTATAGAGATCCCAGAGCTAGACGATTAGCCGAACAACAGAAGAAAAGCCAGAATGAAACAACCCCAGTGCCAGAAAAATTGAGTTTTAAAGAGAAAATGAAAATGTTTGCAATGGAAACCGGTGAACAAGAGACGCCGAAAGACAAAAGCAAAATTAGTAGGGCGCAAAGGGAAATTGATAATCTCGGATCGCCGCCGCCTAACTCGGGAATGGTGCACTAAACGGAGTTTTAGTCGAATATTATTGTTATTTATTTTCGTAGTTTAAGCGATATTCTTTTTAGTTCAGTTGACGCTTTAATCTAAAACGGCTTTTTATGGTCAGATTCGGACTCATGCAGACCTAGTAAGAGCTGATTGCATATTCCTTTCTACACATGAGTATTTGTATTATTGGCTGAATCAAATTGCATAACAACGAAATATTAGTTTTACAAAGTTAATATACAATCCAATGTGGGCCTTGACTAGTCACTTTTTTAATACAAATACAAATGTCTGGGTAGGACAACTAATAAAAAGAATGACAAACTTTACAAAAACGATAAATAATTCCAATAAAAAAGTTTCGTTAATTCTTCAATTTATCTGGTAAATTTTGGAAATATTACAATTGAGAAAAATGTTAATGTACCAATCGTAGTTTTAATCTCTTCAATAGCAGCGTTAATTATATTTTAGTCGATCTTGTTAAACTAGATGCACTAAAATGTTCCTTGTAAAGCGATTAAAAAACTATTGAGAACCAAAAGTATTGCAAAGTAAACTGCTAATAGTTCAGCTAGCTACTTGAAACATTATTTTCTAAAGGCCTATTTTGCCAGAGAAATTGCTGTTATTTGCTAACTAAAAATATTAATAATTGACTGATATTACCCTAATTTGACTCAACTTTATCTGAATAGTCAAGTTTTAATTTTGATCTTATCAGCCATTGATTTAGGATAGATTTGCTGGTAGGAAGTATAAAATTATGCATCAGTATTGACATGAAATAATTGTAAATACGAGATACATACAGTTTCTCATATTTACTAATTATTTTCAAAAAAGATCTCCTTTGATAAGATGTAATGGGAGTCAGAAGATAAGCTAATATATATCTCGAATAGTTTTGTAAGGCGATTAAAAACAACACCAATTTATTTCAAAAAATACTAAATAATATCTACTATACATATATCTATTACGGATGGTGCCTATACATTTTCTAATAGAGCAGTACTTTTTTCATGTGATGTCTTCAACGTTATGGGACCTAAGGTTTTTAAGCAGCTAACGATCTTTATTACTTGTATCTAAGGGTATAAATATATTGAAAAAATATGCTGTAGATGGACCAAAAATTAGTCTTATAGAAGTAACAATTTTGATCATATCTCTCACCCTACCGTCCATGCTTGAGACCATGTAGCCAATTTACATTTGTCGTTTTTTCCCCTTGTATTGTAGCCATAAACTACACCGCAAATACTAAGATTCTAATTTGGAAATAACAAAAAACGACAATTGTAAATCTATCTCTACGAATATCCTACTAGAATTTAGAGTATTATGAACTTGACCAGATATTTTAGTATTTGCACGAACATCATTGACTAATTGAATTGACTTTACTTATCAAATTTGGGTTTAAATCAACTAATAATACTTACCGAATCGATTAATATCGAAAATCATGTACATATTGCTTAGTAGTTGTTTGTATTTTGTGTCTGTTTCAGTGAGCGTTCTTAGAACCTTTTTTAGACACGCAATGTTCTGTTACAGATTTAGCTGCTATTTACAAAAAAAAATGTCAAATCACTTCCGTTACATCAGTGTGCTGTACGCAATTTTTCATAGAAATACTTATAAACACAGTAAAGCGCATACTACCTCCTTATCAAGTGCTTCAACAATTAGAAGATTAACCGGGGTTCTATTGAGTGAAAAATGAACTGGAAAAAAACGTCCAGTTCAAATATTTAAGAATATCTCCTCTATTGTAAAAACATTTCTATATTTTGAGAAGCAGATGAAAACCAGTTTGTTTTTATTAATTGATTTATTATATTCATCGAATCAGTTCGTTATCGAATAATAGTTGAAAGGCAGTGGTAGATGAGATGGAATACAAATGGCTGTTCAACAATATGTCCATTATCGTGATGGAAAAATTCCTTTAATAAAATTCGTCATTTTCTCTAACCAGAAGGAATAGCAAGATTTAACGAAGTTAAGAGATTTTTGTAAGCGTAATTGGAAACAGCCTTCAACTAAGTAAGCCTAAACATATTTAGGAAGAAGTTGAGCCAGCAGTACCATTTAACGGTGTCTTATAATGAAATTATAAAATACGTCATTTTATGAAATCAATTCAATTAGTCGTGCACGTAATAACGTAGTGGCTTATAGAAATAGTGATTGTTAAAATGAAGTATTTGTTAAAATTTAGACATTTATTATATTCCAAATGTATATCTACTATTTAGACATTCATATTTACATGTTAAATGCATAATTAGAGGATGGATGCATTAGGTTGCATTATATAAGAAACATTATTGTTTTGAGAATTCTTTATACTGTATTGTAATGTTTATTTCTATTGAGGCAAAGTAAATACCTTTTTAGAAATTGAGATTACGGCCATTCTCTTTTACAGATAAGCAATATTACTTTGCACATAAGGACCAATTATTACTCGTTTATAATACGAAAATTCTATGTATAGTGTTTCAATGTAAGTGATTACTTGTATAACATACGATGCTAAAATAAGTGTTCTAGTTTTTGTTCCGATTTTTTAGTTAAGTTAAGATAATTATAAACTAGACGAGAACTAAAACATTTATTATTAAAAACAAGCTAGCATAGAGCTTTGATTTACATTTTGGAATTCTCCCTCATGTGATGAAGCTATCTATATCTAGTTCGGTACTATCATGTTATACAATATTCCGGATGTTTCTGCACTGTATAAATAATTAAAATACACAGTTGTCAATAATTAAGAAATTGGCATTATTTGTACGAACTCTGTATTCAAAAGCATTCCCTAAATTCTTAAACTTTTTTATGTTTTTTGTATTATAAATAGCATTAAGTTTGATTTAAGTTTCTACACTTTAAAACCTCACCTTATTTATCTAAGCAATATGTATTTATGTCAATATTTAGTGGAGTTCTGTACATAAGCATACAAAGAATGTATATTGTACTAAACGTAGAAACTTACTGAAATCTTTGCGTTTATGATTTAGGAATAATATATTAAAATAAGCAAAATTATGATCTGTTGAATTATGTAATACTTATCTATTTCTTTCAAATAAATAAATTAAGAATGTAAAAATTAAAGTTTAGTTAGTATAATTAAATACTTGTTTCTGCTGCTCTCTTCCATTCCTATTCGAACTGTGTCATAAAAGCGAATTGTGGTCCTATTCACTCGTACCTCCGTTACTTTTACATTTAACTTTTTATGTTTCATACAGAAAGCTCAGTTTTAGAAATGTATACTGCATTTTGAAAATTTGCTTATTTTATTTATTAGTTAATATTTGAATATATTTTAAAGTTAATTAATAATAATCTTACTATTATTGTTTTGTATGTGTTTCGTAAACCTTTCAAGTACTGTTTATTTATTAATTTAACACTCATAAATGGGTAGAAAATATACAATACTGGTGATGCACATAGACCACAATTAAATCAAAGTTCAAACGCATCAGCTAAGCTGGTAAAACTCAGTTTCTAACGATAATTTATTAAGCACTATTATTATTACCAACTTTCATCCTGCAGTTAACAGGCAGGCAAATCACTCCGTATACAAAGTGTCGTGCAGGTCGCCACTCTCCGTGGATATTTACAGACGGTTGATCGAGATTTTAATTTGATTAATCTAGTTTCTGATTTTTATTTTTAACYATATCTATGGTTTTGCATTCTTTTAAATTTACAATTAAAGGATTCTTCGTTGTGTTCCTTGTTACTTCGGGTTAAACTTTCTGGCATCCCTGAAAAGCTTACAGGAGGAGGCTGAGCTGACAAAGCAACTCCCTTTTTGAAACCTTGGAAGAGGACTTGAAGAAAAGATTGGAAAAAGAGTTGGAGCTTAGGACTTCCTCTGGCCGATCTATTTTTTGACAAGAACTCTAAGCCATGACTGAACCAACCCACACTTAGTTAAGGGGTTTGCTGAATATGGCCAAGCTCGGCCACTCCAATGGTGGGGAGAACACCATGCCAAAGAACGCATCAGTGTTGGCTCATAGTTCTTTTGTGGACTTCTGCCACCCAGCTAAAGATATCGATGAACAATTTAAAGACGAAATGGCGATCCCGTCTCCGCCGCTTTCTGTCACCAGTGAATGCTTGTGATTTAAAGAGACGTCGCGGTGAGTTAAAAATATAGGTAAGATACAAAGAGTCGACGACCAATTTTGTTCGTTGCATGGAGGAGTTAATATTTAGCCAGCTTTTCCAAAAAATCGCAGCAAAACCGCCCCATAAATTGAAGTAAAATCCGCAAAAGCCGCTTCATAAAATCAGCAAAGCTGCACATGCGAGCAGCATGAGTATGGAAAATCGCAAAATAGAAACTACAAACCTGGTTGCCATCTACTACTACGATATAATTTGCCATCCGAATTCAGACCGCTGAAATTCCCTAAATTTCCGCAAACTTAACGCCATTTGGTGGCTTAAATTGAAAAAATCAATCGCTAGTCTAATTAAAACCTTGATCTGGATCACATAGAGTCTGAAGGACGCGCTGCACGTCAAAGAACTGGAATAATCGGGAGTTTACTGGCAGTAATGATTTGAAAAAACTAATATGTCTTAAAGTTTTAAATTTGGAAAAATCGCGCGAAATCTAAATAAATATGCCAGAATCACTGGCAGACCATCACAAAGCAATAATAAGCAAGTTCCACCTACCTTTATGCACTGTCTGGATTCTGGGCCTTTTTGTTTAATTATTATATAATTAATAAAAACAGCAGTAGAGCACTAATAACAGATAAATTTACTTTGCAGACAATCTGAGGCGTTTTCGCATCATTGTTCCCCATTTTTAAACTTAAATTGTATTGTATAAAAGTTGTATCAAAACACAGTCTTCTATGGAAAACTTGACTAGTTGATGTTGAATACCTGAATGGAAAATGATTTTAAATTTAAAAATCACGGTTAGTTTAGGATGTAATTCGTATTGAAATTCAAAAATTGCCTTACGCGACAACAAAAAGTATAATTCACAGCAGAACGACTTGACATAAAAACCGTTAACTGTAGAAAATTTCATTCTTTCAAGTATGATATTTGAATTTAAATTAATTTGAGTAATTAAAAAAATTAAACTAGAAAATTAAAAAATCGAAGCCAGAATCCAGAAACTCTCTCGAATAAATATTACATGCAACAATATCGTAAAATGCAAGCTTATATGAGACAAAAAGTGATCTACAGGCCAACCAGGGGCAAAATAATGCCAAACTTATCGCAAGACGCATATCCGGTCAACTGGGAAAAAAAACATTTTTGAGTAAAACATAAACTTATTCCAAAGCGCAATTAATTACAATGATAAAATACATCACACAGAAATAGAGAAACCCATAAAACTTCAGTTGCTTCTCGAAAAACGAAACTCAGTTCAAGCTAAGGGATTCTTAGAGAGATATTCTTCTTACCAGCTTTCCCCAAGCTGTGCCCATATTCTCCATTTTTTTATCCATTACTCTTCAAAAAGCACACACTGCACTGGAACACACAATCAAAATGTACTCAAAATTTAAAAAATCCATCCTATCGTTAACAGGAAGAAAAATCTACAGCACCGGATGCTTTAAAGGACCTCACCAAATAGATCTATAGATTCCGACAAGACACAAAAGTCTGACGACTTATTTCTTCCGTTGCTCGTTTCAAACTGAATATTTAGCCAGGTTTTCGAACAAATAAATTCATGCCATACTGAGGTTTTTTTCACATTTTTCACATACAGCTCGAGCTAGAGAACTAGCATGATGATATAATCACTTGCTTTATCGTCCTTTCCATGACTCATTACTTTACTTTGCTGTTCGATTTCAGTTTTTTTTGCTGTTGACAATATTGTAGAAAGTTCCAGTTCATACTGCAATATTTTCAAATTTGTACATACAATCCTTGGCATATATTTTCAAAAAAATATATGCCAAGGCTTAAAGTAGCAACAACGCTACACATAGAAACTGATGATGGTGGAAAACACCGAAACGTATTT